GCCTTTGTATTATTTTCTAATAACAACGAAAGCGTATTTCCGGACAACCTATAGAATTGATCTCTTCTAAGGAAGATTATTGCTCGGTTTAATTCGATTTTATACGGATGCATCCTTGAAAAAAGCGATAAACGATTATTGGCTTTTGCAATTTTCGACCTGACCTTCACCAACCATTAGCCTTCAGAAGATTACTTCCAAAATCTAATTATGAGATTTTTATTAGACTATTGGACTCGTAAAATAGCCGGAATAATAGAGCAGATCGTAAAACAGTCAAGGTTGCATATTTTGTTTTTTCTCTTCTCTCGGTATAATAGATTGTATATATGGATATATCTTCGAATCTGTAAAATATGCATGGATATATCTCAAATTTGTAAAATCTAAATCAAAAGGATTTGAAAGAATGCATCGGCAATATTATTTTTTCCCATGCCATTCATATCGTTCATAATTTATCTATTGTAATAAATGCATAAAGACGTATCATCGAAGATATCATAGGTTTGAGATTTAAGATTTTTACTTGAATAACAAGATTTTTTCTGTATCTCAACATTTCTTTTAACCAATGAAACAGTTGTAATAGCGCAAAATATGCATCAAATGTATGTATATTAGAAAAAAAAAAAAATAATAATAATAAAAGGAAAATTTCGATTTGAGAAGTAATAAAACGCGCGATTGATAAAATCAAAATTTGAGGAATTAAATGAAAATTCGAGCCGAACGAATCTTGCGATCATCACGATCAAGGACACGTTTGATAAACCCGCCGTTAGACGACAAATGCGGCTTCACCGCAAACGCCGGGGCCCGTCGTAATGAGATGTGACGTCACGACATGGCGTCTGCAGGTGAACGAGCAGCGAGAACCGTAGGTGAGCGCATTCGCTAGTCGATCCGATTGGCCGAAGGGGGAATCCCCGCCCTTGCGTCGTTCATGCATACCGCGAATCTCCCCTACCTTTTTACCCTTTCGCGATTCCGCGCGAGTCTCTATCTTTCTCTGCCTTTCGCTGCGCTTTCCTCTTTATCTCTGTTCCTCTCCTATACACGCAAATATCCTCTGTTTCTTTTTTCCTCACGACTCGCAGCGTCGTCGCGCGCTGATAACGCACATATATATATATATATATATATATATATATATATATACATAAGTTCATAGAGCCTGTTTACACCTTCACCTGTCTACACAACGATGAGAATGTATGTATGTATGTGTCTCCCGGTCTTACTCTCTTCCGAAATTATCAGAAGCTTATTCATTTGCGCGCAAGCACACTCTCTCTCGAGTTGTCTCTATTCTACATCAATACGATTAACACGTTTCCAAAGATTAGCGCGTTTACGTAAATTCGCGCGAATCAAAATCACGAGAGAGGAAATGAGAGAGAGAGAGAGAGAGCTTTTATATATTTTCATACATAGATGGACAGATATTGGTCTCGCGCGTGAATTAGAGCTTTATAAATTTCACTCACGACTAGCACGCGAACCAGCAGATAATAATTTACGAGGGCAATTATACGTTAAAAATTCAAAATTGTAAAACGCACATGGATAGACGAAGGTCGTAAAGTCTAATGTCATGAGGTACAAATTGAAAAAATAAAAATATATGCGAAAGCATTAAATACAGTCATTTCATACAGATAATCACCAGAGAGAGCATCAAATATAGTCATTACTGCTAATGATCTAGAAAAAGTGGATATGTTGGATGTACATCAGAAGATAGGAGCTCTCCGTGTCATTATCCACATTTATGTAATTACTTTCAGCTAATTATATACATTTAAAATCAACCGTGCATTTCATTTCTGAATTAGATCCGACTAATGCAAAGTTATTAAACATAATACATATAGAATTGCAAATAATTCGAGCCTATGGCTGCGTTAAGCAGAAGCTGATTTACAACTGTTGTAAAATTTGTAAATTTGATTGGTGCATACTCTTAGATTCAGCTAATTGTAAGATCGAGAGCATATGCATACCAATCAGATTCACAAATTTTGCAGCAGTTGCAAAGCTGCTTTTTTTGCTCAACGCAGCCATTGATTCAAAGAGATCTGATCAATTTAAAATCGATTATAACAAGTCAATAATTTCCGATATTTTTTCTTGAATAATAAAATAATATAATGTAGATCTGATAAAAATGGAAAGTACGACCCGTGCGGTTAATTTTTGAACGCTCGATGTCAGAAAGCGTCACGATGGAAATCGTAGTAGATTCGCGCTTCTTGCGATTTCAAATAAATTACCGCTATTAATATAGATTGCAGCAATTATTTACGCTCCGCGTGCATAGAACACTTAATACTAGATTCCGCTATTACTCCGATTTTCCTTTCGTTTGAATTATGTGTAAATAATTTTAAACTGTTTCGAACGTAATAAAAAAATCGAAAGTTTAAATCTCGTGCTCACGATATATAATTCTTACAACTAAAATAATCAAAAGCGCAAATTGTTGCAGAGAAAAAGATTTATATATTATCACGAACAATTGTTTCGAAATCTCTTGCCAGTAATAATTTTGCCTCGAATAGCACTAATCTTGGATTTTTTCCGATATGTATTTTTTATTACTTTTTTTATTACTGAGTATAGTTGTTAAATTTTTCTAATAAGACGCTATAATTTTTTTTATTCCTTTAATCGATAAAAAGCCAAGGTTAAAAGTATACAAAGATCAGCAGCATTGACAATTATAAATATTGTATCATCATTTTTTTTATATCAAATGTACGATGAAAGGTCACAATGTAATTTAGCTGATAATTTAATAAGACACGTTTTTTTCTGTGTATCTTTTTTTCCTGCAAATTTCGATAAAAAGAAACTTTGTATAAATACAGAACGGATTTTACGAGGACGAGAATAATCAAGGACGTAAAACATATATTTGATGTGAAGAAAATATTCCCCAAGTGAACGCGCGCACGAGAGAGATTGGCGTTGTTTGTAAACTAATATCGCCCCACTGACGCATGCTATCGAACCGTTTTAACATATTTCGATCGACACGATCACACACGATCGTGGCTACCAAAATGTATTACTCAACCAGTTGAAAGTCACACTTGTTTGCGATACCGGAGAGATTTGAAACCGAAATTTAATCACGAAATCTCTATATAAATTCGATATACACAATTATATATATATATATATATATATATACACGGTTTTTTTATCATTCATATATTTTTATAATCTACATCTGCACACACATTTTTTCATTTATATTATATATGTATATAATATTTATTTGTCTTTGCTGCTACACACATTTGTTATTTTCATATAAAGTATACTATCTTAATCACAATTTATCTAATAAAACTCGATATAAGTTTTACTTCGTTAATCATATATAAATCAAAAAATTTGTAAATATATACTTTTGTTGTTATAAACAGTAAGAAAATTTTTAAGAATCTATTAGGTACTATTTAAATTATATTTTGCCGAAAGCTCCTCTTTTCTTCTTACAATTAGTAGAAGATTGTTCACTTATTCTTCGCATTAATGTGTAAAGTAGAAGCTTGATATTTATATAAGAATTAACCTTGTCAAAATATTTTAAAACCATAAATAAAAAATATTAGAATAAAAATAAAAGCAAGTATTTCTATGTCAAAACCTGACTTTGCAAATAAACTGACACAGAACATCACGATTAACGATACCAAGGTTATATTGTTATGGCAATGCTAAGGAAAAATGAATTCCTTAGTATTTCAAAATCCTGCAGCGCTGGTATTCAGTCACCTGCAGAGACTATACAATTTGTAGTACTCGTTATTTTTTCATATAACAATAACTGTTACGACAGTAACGTAACTAATATAGTAAACGTAATATATATGTTGTAGTAATGTATAGTAAATGCTGTTTTCAAATTGCAACTTTAGAGATAACTAAAAATGAAAAGAAGATTTCACATTTTTACATATAAATTTTAAAATCTTTCCACAAACTCATAAATTCTCCGCGATTTAATTAAGCAAAGACTATCAAAACTGTATACATATATAATACTCGTGGCAAATTAGATATACGATCGTTTTCCAATATGAATTTGATTGCACATCATTAATATTAACAGCTTTCATTTGTATGAAATAATACAATATATGCATGATAATAATTCGCAATATAAATCTTGTTTCACTTATACTGCTATAAATTTGTACGCGACAGTCTTTAATGTGCATCTAGACTAGTGCATCCAAAAATTAGCTTACAATTATAGAAACATAGCGATATACGAGATCATGCGTTTTTCTTAAAGCAATTCTTAAACAGAAATAACAGAGTAACGATTGACTTAGCTTCTATACGAAACGCCTCATTTAATTTAAATTTATTAATAAGAACAATTAATTTTATTAGTAACAACTCCGAATTTGATGGACCATCATCAAAACAAGTTATTGCTTTAAAAACCACAATCTACACTTCATTCTCTCTCGACCAATAGAGCCAAACGCGATATTATTGCGACAATTAAGAAAGAAAGAAAATTTCGAAACTAAGGAATTTGAATCCTGGTTGGGATCTCAGAACTCCCTTGTTCCTTCCCTCTCTTATCTTCCCCAGTAAAGAAATAGGTGAAAAAACTATTGGTCGGTTGAATCGGGAATTGCGTCCCGATTCAACCGACTCTCGGACCAACATTTTTCTCGCCTATTTCTTCACAGGGGAAGTTAAGAGAGGGAAGGGAACAAGGGGAATTCTGAGATCCCAACCAGGATTCAAATTCCTTAGTTTCCAAATTTTCTTTCTTTCTTAATTGTCGCAATAATATCGCGTTTGGCTCTATTGGTCGAGAGGAATGAAGTGTAGATTGTGGTTTTAAAAATTAAAGAGCCGACTTAAAAATATTCTTATTATTATTGCTTTTACTTTGAGAGAAACGCAGAGTAGCGCACGCAATGAGACCTCGCGTTAAATGAAAGACGGAAATTTAAGATATTTACCAGTGACCCCTCCGGTGTCGCGTGTTGCCCGTTGGTTCCGTTTGGCTCGTGAGCTCCGTTAGTTCCGTTTGGTCCATTTGCCCCGTTGGGCATACCTCCGGGAGTCGTCTCGACGTCTTGTTCGTCGGCTGAGTCCATCGCGTAGGATGGTTTAGGATCACTCTTTACCCGAATTTTGACTGATTTATTGCAACAGCGATTGACAAAACGAGCGTTCACGCGCTGGAGGAGCTTCTGATAATTTCGACCGCGATGCGGACGAAATCTCAAGTCAAGTTCGAATGTGAATTAAGTACCGTCGGCAATTTCACGCCGGATGTCAGGGAAGGTTATATTATACCGATTAAGATATCCGCGAGCGAACGAGATCAATGAAGACGTATATCTTCCCGCACTATTTGTCGCACTGATTCTATTGTTCCCGGTTTCTCTATTTCTCTGTTCTCTCGTGTTTTTTTGCTATTGTGAAAATTCTACTGTCGTTCGTGACAAATCCCGTGGGGTTTTTGTTGCGCGCGCACGATACTGTGATGAAAATGTCTACGAATGATGAAGAAATGCCAAGAGGATACCAAAAAATGTCGTTATGAGATGAACGAGCGATACGAGTAAGCGAATATTGTACAATGCGAAATTGCTGCAGAATAATCGAATAGTACGATGTGCACACGGCGTATTGCTTCGAACAACTGGACTAACTAACCTCTCTCAGTAAACTGAATCGGAAGCAAAAAGCAAAGGACGAGGGAAAAGGGAAGAGAGGGGAATCGAAATGATCGACGGAAGAGGTGGGAGAAATCAGAAACCCAATGAAAGCGGGGATGATGAAACAGGGATGGAGAGAGGGAGGGGAGGAGTACGCAAAGGCAGTTTATCGAAATTGTTCGATGCAACGCGAATTATCCGATCCCCGGCGTTTTTCCGCTGATAGCGCGAGCGCGGGCTCGCCGGCCCGACATATGTGATACGATAACAAGGTCGGCGACGACGAGGCGAACGGACTCCCGTCCTGGACGATCGACTCCGCGAAGCGAGCCCGACGCGAATAAGGGCGAGAGGCTGCGAAGGGACGTGCGCGCGCGCTCTCTCTCACGTACTACCGCGATCTGAAGCAGCGGCGGTGTTGCTGCTAGTGTTCGCCACCCCTCCTTAGTGTTCCACGATCCGTCCTCCCCTCCTCTCGATAAAAAGAAACGCACACACATTTGAGGCGGGCTGCGCGCGAGCATCGACCGTAGGCGGCGACAAAGAGATGTCTCCGCCCGCTAGATAGTCTACACCCCCAATCTCACGCCACGGATCAATTTTGGATTACAATTTTTTCCCACTCTGTCCTTTCTTCTCTTCTTCCCGCGCTTTTTTCCCGCGCGATTAGCGTCACAATCACGTCTCGTTTTTACAAACGCAATTGGGTGGAAAAACGTTTTATTCGACGACGCATATAACGACGAGGTTAAACTTTTCTATATATTATTCGCTAAAGAGTCGGAAAGTATTTGTAAACGAAACTCATTCCGTCTACAACGTATTAAAATTTCTAAAAATTCCTAAGTTCACGATTCGTTTTTCACAATTCTTACGAATTTTTCGAAATTTTAATATGTTGTAGACGGAGTTGAGGTAGTTCTATCGTTTTTCACAATTCTTACGAATTTTTAGAAATTTTAATATGTTGTAGACGGAATTAAGGAATTGTGAAAAACGATAGAACTACCTTAACTCCGTCTACAACATATTAAAATTTCTAAAAATTCGTAAGAATTGTGAAAAACGATAGAACTACCTTAACTCCGTCTACAACATATTAAAATTTGATCAATCAAAATTAATATTGGACGCTAGTGGTGAAAATAAACTTGGCAAACTTGATTTCGACGTAACTAACAATTTTATTCAATACTTTCACGACGTTTCAGTCTGTATGAAGTTAACCCCCCATTTTTCGAATTTTAAAATTTTAAAGGTTGTTTCAGGTTCTAAGAACAACTTGGAGCAACTCTCAGTTTTGCTAGAACATCATTTGAAAGAGTACTTTACTCTTGCAAATAAACACATTTTTCTTGTTTTTTTGCGGGCAAAAAAGATGAAAAAACAAGAAAAATGTGTTTATTTCCAAGAGTAAAGTACTCTTTAAAATGATGTTCTAGAAAAACTGAGAGTTGTTCCAAGCAGCGACGGATTAATACTAGAGGCAAACATAGGCATTTGCCTAGGGCGGCAAAATGGAGAGGGCGGCAAATTTTCGAAGACAAAAAATAAAAAAGTAAAAAAAAATAAAGAAAGTAAAAAAAAAGTGTAAAATCCTATCTGCAAATCTCCTCGTGGTGCACTCTGGGGTCGTGAAAATATTTAAAAATATATTACGTTTTTACCAGCTAATGCAGGGATAACAGAAAATTGTTGATATTTTGTACTAAATCTTTTTTTTTTGCTTTTAGGGGCGGCAAAATGTTTAATCTGTCGCTGGTTCCAAGTTGTTCTCAGAACCTGGAACAACCTTTAAAATTTTAAAATTCGAAAAATGGGGGGCTAACTTCATACAGGCACGTTTCGACCATTTGGTTGTGATCCTTATCAAGTGAAAATTCCATCAATTAAAATGAGATTAACGCAACATAACACCGGTCTTATTTAAAATTAATAGTTAAAAGAGAAACACGTCCCATCGCTATGATGTTTCGTCAACGACTCAAAACGTCGTGAAAGTATTGAATAAAATTGCTAGTTACGTCGAAATCAAGTTTGCCAAGTTTATATTAAAATTTCTAAAAATTCGTAAGAATTGTGAAAAACGATACAACTACCTTAAGGTACAATAACGTCTCGTTGTTTTTACAAACGTACGCAATTAAACAGAAAAACGTTTTATTCGACGACGCATATAACGACGTGGTTAAACTTTTCTATATTATTTGCTAAAGAGTCGAAAGTATTTGTAAACAAAACTCATTTAATGAGAAAAATTTATTCAATTCAACAATACTGGCCTAAAAAGATTCTTTACTAATTTAACTCATGACGTTTTGATTTTGGTTTAGGTCTTTATAAACTGACAAATCTATTTAAGATGCCGATATAATTAAAGTAGTGCGAGTCTTTAAGACCATATCTACTACTACCGCTATTCGCACTACTTTAATTATATTGTCATCTTAAATAGATTTGTCATTTATATATAGCAGCAGAATTAGAAGCTTTCAAACTAATATAGTTTAGATGTTTGAGCTTATCCCCTAAAATCCCAAACAATCCTTTAATTAATGAGAGAAATTGTTTAAATTCGAAATCTTGAAAAAAAACGAAAGGACCAGCTAAGATGGCGCAGTATGGGTCAACGGCCGGTCGGGGTAGTTACAGAATCCTATATAAAATGGCAGATCTGGCAACGGCGTTATAGTGCAATACTGGATACTGGTTATAGCGCATTTCAGAAACTGGTCCTTTAGTTTTTTTCACCCAAGCGCCCAATCAAAATTTCTACCAGGGGTGTGTTAGATTTTAATTTTATCAATTTTTTTGTTTTTCCCCTTATCAATTCAAAACCTTTTGGATAAATTAAAATACAGCAAAATAAATAAATAAATAATAAATAATAAAAATACAAATGAGTGAACATTATAAAAGACATTTCCTATATAAAATGGCAGATCTGCAGATCTTGGTTATAGCGCATTTCAGGAATTGGTCCTTTCATTTTTTTCGCCCAAACGCTCAATCAAAATTTCTACCAGGGGTGTGTTAGATTTTAATTTTATCAATTTTTTTGTTTTTCCCCTTATCAATTCAAAACCTTTTTGGATAAATTAAAATACAGCAAAAAAAAATAAATAAATAATAAATAATAAAAATACAAATAAGTGAACATTATAAAAGACATTGCTAATGAAATGCGCTATAACCAGTATCCAGTATTGCACTATAACGGCGTTGCCAGATCTGCCATTTTATATAGGAAATGTTTTTTATAATGTTCACTCATTTGTATTTTTATTATTTATTATTTATTTTTTTTGCTATATTTTAATTTATCCAAAAGGTTTTGAATTGATAAGGGGAAAAACAAAAAAATTGATAAAATTAAAATCTAACACACCCCTGGTAGAAATTTTGATTGGGCGCTTGGGTGAAAAAAACGAAAGGACCAGTTCCTGAAATCCGCCACGGCCAGAGCCGTTATACTATAGTGCAAACCTCTGTGAAGCTGGCCCCTCATTTTCAAAAATTTGAAATTTTTATTAGAGTTCTGATAGCCCCCCTAAGAGTTCTAAAGTTCTCTATCGGTTTTAGAAATAATTCCGCCATTTAAAATAGAAAAAATATCATTTGAAGATACGGGGGGGCCAACTTCACATTTTTTGCAACTTTAACTTGGCATAACTTTTTTGTTATCAATTTTAGAGCTTTGGTTATTAAGGATAATTGCTAGAACTCTTTGGGGGGCTATTAGAACTCTCAACAGAATTGTCAAATACCGAAAAAAATTTTCACCTTTTAAAAATTGATAATTCGGGTAAAAATTTTTTCGGAAATCGGCAGTTCTCTCGAGAGTTCTGGTAGCCCCCCGAAGAGTTCTAACGAATCTTCTTAATGATCGAAGCGCTACGACGCGAAATTAAAAAGTTATGGCTCCTTAAAGTTGCAGATTTGAAAAATTTCAAAGTCCCAGAAAGGTAGAAATTTTTTTCGGAAATCGACAGTTCTCTCGAGAGTTCTGGTAGCCCCCCGAAGAGTTCTAACGATTCTTCTTAATGATCGAAGCGCTACGACGCGAAATTAAAAAGTTCTGGCTCCCTAAAGTTGCAGATTTGAAAAATTTCAAAGTCCCAGAGGGGTAGAAATTTTTTTCGGAAATCGACAGTTCTCTCGAGAGTTCTGGTAGCCCCCCGAAGAGTTCTAACGATTCTTCTTAATGATCGAAGCGCTACGACGCGAAATTAAAAAGTTCTGGCTCCCTAAAGTTGCAGATTTGAAAAATTTCAAAGTCCCAGAGGGGTAGAAATTTTTTTCGGAAATCGACAGTTCTCTCGAGAGTTCTGGTAGCCCCCCAAAGAGTTCTAACGATTCTTCTTAATGATCGAAGCGCTACGACGCGAAATTAAAAAGTTCTGGCTCCCTAAAGTTGCAGATTTGAAAAATTTCAAAGTCCCAGAGGGGTAGAAAATTTTTTCGGAAATCGACAGTTCTCTCGAGAGTTCTGGTAGCCCCCCGAAGAGTTCTAACGATTCTTCTTAATGATCGAAGCGCTACGACGCGAAATTAAAAAGTTCTGGCTCCCTAAAGTTGCAGATTTGAAAAATTTCAAAGTCCCAGAGGGGTAGAAATTTTTTTCGGAAATCGACAGTTCTCTCGAGAGTTCTGGTAGCCCCCCGAAGAGTTCTAACGATTCTTCTTAATGATCGAAGCGCTACGACGCGAAATTAAAAAGTTCTGGCTCCCTAAAGTTGCAGATTTGAAAAATTTCAAAGTCCCAGAGGGGTAGAAATTTTTTTCGGAAATCGACAGTTCTCTCGAGAGTTCTGGTAGCCCCCCGAAGAGTTCTAACGATTCTTCTTAATGATCGAAGCGCTACGACGCGAAATTAAAAAGTTCTGGCTCCCTAAAGTTGCAGATTTGAAAAATTTTAAAGTCCCAGAGGGGTAGAAATTTTTTTTGGAAATCGGCAGTTCTCTCGAGAGTTCTGGTAGCCCCCCGAAGAGTTCTAACGATTCTTCTTAATGATCGAAGCGCTACGACGCGAAATTAAAAAGTTCTGGCTCCTTAAAGTTGCAGATTTGAAAAATTTCAAAGTCCCAGAGGGGTAGAAATTTTTTTCAAATCTGCAACTTTAAGGAGCCAGAACTTTTTAATTTCGCGTCGTAGCGCTTCGATCATTAAGAAGAATCGTTAGAACTCTTCGGGGGGCTACCAGAACTCTCGAGAGAACTGTCGATTTCCGAAAAAATTTTCTACCCCTCTGGGACTTTGAAATTTTTCAAATCTGCAACTTTAGGGAGCCAGAACTTTTTAATTTCGCGTCGTAGCGCTTCGATCATTAAGAAGAATCGTTAGAACACTTCGGGGGGCTACCAGAACTCTCGAGAGAACTGCCGATTTCCGAA